CTCCCGGCCCCCGGCCGATTTCTTCCCCTTGATACATTGTGTTTGGTACCTGCAGTGCCGCCCCAACAGGTACACGGCGCCAATACACCATGATATACGCGCGTAATAATGGCAGTGACGTGTTCCATTCGTATCGCAAGCCCGCCGGGGCTTCCCTTTGATCTGCAGATTATTGAATGCGCCGCACCTGCGAGAAAAGTACGTTATATTGCGATCTTTGCGATATAGGTTAGGACGACGGTCGGGAGTAGCGATTTTATGTCGCGATGTTCCTTCGGCAACGCGCGCGCCGCGCTTGTCAGCTCGTTTCCGAAAGGCGTTTCGCCGATTCAAGATCAGTTTTTCATCCCGAAGCTAAAGTCGTTATTCTTAGACAATCAGTAGCACGATATATGGCTCTCTTTCTCTCTCTCTCTCTCTCTCTCTCTCTCTCTCTCTCTCTCTCTGTTCTTTCTCATTACTCCTTAGCGATAATTTGGTTTATGCGACTGTACTTAACGCTCTTCAATATGAGTATAATTTGTTAACAATGTTGTAACTATTGTACAAAAAATAGTTTCAAATTCTATTCACATTTTTAAGGGAAATAATAGTTAAAAATAATATTTACATTATAATTATATGTAAAAATTTTTCTCTTTTAATTTACAGACAATTTTAAGAGTTCCTGTACTCTCTACAAACTGTACACAATAGATTTTACATAATTTTGTAAGATATAATAATTGATATCAAAGGAGAGATATATTAAAATTGATATTTTATTTTAAAATATTTATAAGATTATTTGAATCTTATATATCTTGTATTGTATCATAATTACCAGTAATATTCTTGTTTTGATGAGGCAATATTGATGTTGGGGTTGTAGAGGCACGCTGTTCTTAAGATCTCTTCGCTGGGTCTGGTGGAAGATGTTATTGATATTTAGTGAGATGGTGTATGTGTGTATCTGTTATAGATTCGTCTCTCCAGCAGCGGAGAGGTAGTAGCGGTGGTGGCGACGACTCAGTGGGTGCAGAGAGAGACGAAGGAGTGATTGCCATGACTACGACAGGAGCCCAGTATGCCCTCGCAGCATCCACCGGGGCTAATAACAGTGGGGGTAGCTCCACGACGGTAGGGGTGGATTCTAAGCAAAATGTGGTTGTCGTGACTACTACTTCCAGTTCCAGTGGTGGTGGCAACGTAGCACAGACTCAGTCTGCCAGAGGCCAAGAACCAGAGTTCATCACTGTCGTGACAAACCCTGATGCTTCCAGTCCAAATAACTTACAGCCCATTCAGGTTAGTAATATTATCTTTCATTATTTCTTTATTATGCCCTTTGCCCGTGTGATTTAGGAGAATGATTATTTTCATTATTCTCAAGAATTGAAGATTGTAATGTCATTGTTATACAAAACGTCTTGTGATACAATTTATATACATGTCAAATTGCTTTTTCTTCTCTCTGGTACTCTCTATTATCGTAATTATAAGATAGAGAATAATAAGAGATATATAAAAATTGATTCAATATATACATAATCTTTGCAGATATAGCATCTGTTTGCAGCATACATTTTATAGGTGCTGCATATCCAATCTGATAACATATTTGAGCCATCTGCTCCTAGCGACTGATAAGAGTGATATACACAAATGTTGAAATAAAATCCAAGTCAATTCTATCTTGAACATATAAATATTCACATACGTACAAGAGGCATATATCATTTTTGTTTTAATTTCTATTATAAAATCAAATTATGGGCCATGAGGACACGCATACTATAAATAATAATTTAGTTATTGGTTCAGGATCCACTTGATACAGCTGCAGATTCGTCCAACGGCTCAACAGGTACGCCAGCGCATGTTACAGCACAGGTAGTGGTCAATACTACTCATTCTGGTCAGCACACATTAGTGGATTCTGAAGCTGCTTCTACATCGGCTGGCACCATTGTCAGTGGTTCGCCACACTATATAACAGTCACAGGTAATAACTGAATATAAATTTCTTATCTAATAGTGAAAACTTGATTTGATCTTATTGCGATATGCACAAATCTAATTGCGAATCATTAAATTGCAAACAATCACACTGTAGATAGCACCAATTGTACACAGGCATAAATAGAAATTAATATTGAGTATGAAACTTAAGTAATTGCAAATAAAATTTACCATTTACGGTGAGTATGAGAATCGGTTGAAAAATTATAGTGTTTGAGTAGAGATTTGGCCCTTTTCATGCTGCTGAAAAAACATGCACCTCTGTACTTCTACTCTGACCATACTAGGCACCAGTGATTCATCATCCTACGCGGCCCTCACAACAGCTGTAGGTGAGGGCAGAATATAAACAGCATGCCTTATTTGTCCTCTTTATTATTTATACATTTTAATTTCGTAGAAATTATAAGATCAATGAACAGATTGCATTCTTATATGCCAATATTTAATACTATTTGGTTTATTTCATCTATATCTATCGTCACCATACATAGTCATCGACAAACGTGAATATGATTATAACGTGAATATGATTATAAAGTTGATCATTTACAAACCTTCATTCCAAGTACAGTATTAAAGATGTAATACCTTTCGGCTAT